GGCCCTGACCCTCCCCCAGGAAACCTGCCCCTGAGAACTCCTCCCCCCCTGGGAATTGTGTCCCTGCCTCCCAGGAACCCTGCTGTGGCAGTTCTTGGGGTATCCAGGAGTCTGAGTCATCCTCTTACCCCCCCTCCCCCCCCCCAGTGAGAGGGAGTCTTGCCTGCGGTAGGTGGGTGTCAGCCCCCTAACACCACCAGCCTTTCAGGCACTCAAGCCCTCTCCTCTGGGCTATGCCACCTGCCCTTTCGGTGGAGAAGCACATGGTGATCGCTGTGTGGAACCTGGCAACTCCAGACTGCTACTGGTTGGTCACGAATCAGTTTAGTGTTGGGAAGTCGACCATTGGGGCTGCGGTAACACAAGTGTGTGGGGCCATTAATTGCATCCTGCTACGAAGGACTGTGACTCTTGGCAATGTGCTTGAAATATTGGATGGCTTTGCAGAAGGTCTACTTAATACTTAGTCCTGCCATGAGTGCAGGGGACTGGACTAGATCAGCTCTTGAGTTCCCTTCCAGTCCTATGATTCTATGATTTTATGAAATGGGATTCCCTAACTATGACGGGGTGATAGATTGCACGCATATTCAATTTTGTCCTACAGACCATCTTGCGATGGAGTACATCAATAGAAAGGGATACTTCTCTATGCTATTGCAGGCGCTTGTAGCTCACTATGGGCATTTCACTGACATTAACACAGGGTGGTTTGGGAAGGTGCATGATGCACACATCTTCAGGAACACTGGCCTGTACAAAAAGCTCCAAGCAGGGCCTTTCTTTCCAGACCAGAAGAGTCCAGCGGGGAATATTGAAATACCTATAGTGATCCTGGGAGACCCTTGGTCCTGTGGCTCATGAAGCCTTACACGGGAAACCTGGACAGAAGCAAGGAGAGCTTCAACAATAAGTTGAGCAGGTGCAGACTGACCATAGAATGTGCCTTTGGCAGATTAAAAGCGCGCTGGTGCTGCCTTTATGACAGGTTAGACCTATATGAAGAAAATATTCCTGTGGTCATAGCGGTCTGCTGCACGCTCTATAATATTTGCCAAGTGGACCGGGGAATATAAACAGCAGCTAAAAGAGGTAAAATCTGAACAGCTGGATTCATTCGTGTCAGTTCAGGGAAGGGGCTACTGAGCTACAAGAGCAGTCAGTTTATGCCTCATTGCATGTGGTGGCTCAGTGTATTATTGAAATCGCCTCTCCAGAGTAATCACATGCTCCAAGGTAAACACAACCCAGCATGGATTATTTTTTCAAGGTCATGGTGTGTGCGTGTGTGTAGGACAGGCACAGGATTTTTGAATGTGTGTGTGTGTGTGAGATGCTGGCTGTGTATCCCTGATTTGGTGCTGGGCCCATGATCAGGGGAAGACTTGGCAGATGCCCCTAGCTATACCCCAGAGTTGCTGAGATGTGGTGGTTCAGACCCCCAGTTTCCCCCCCCCCCACTAGTCTTTCCGGGGCTTCTCCATGGCCCCATAGACTGTCAGCCCCTGCTCAGAGCCCCCCACCTCTCTCTGTAGTTTCTCCTGCTGCTGTGCTGCTCCTTCCTTTGGCTCACCCCCTTGGTGTGTGTGGGGCAGCGCTGCACCACAGGATCGGTGCTAGGCCCCAGTTTTTAAACAGTGCTTGGAACCCTTCAGTGCACCAGACCTCCAAGGGGTCCCGCTCTTCCTTCAGGGCAGGCCACCCAGCCTCACTGCAGCTAAGTATAATAATGAGTCAAAAGAACCCAAAGTCACTTTGTTTTATTGCGTTACAGCCTGTGTAGCAATATTTTTGTATCAACAGAACAGTAAGGGCAATGTACATCATTGTACATCATTACTATGAATAGATCATTTTGATATTTAAAACTTGTAATCCTAATTTTAAAACACATCAAATGAAAGTGGAAGATGGTTTCATGCTAGAGAAGGGCAGCATCTCTGAAAGGGCACCGCCCTGGGTGACCTGCGAAGAGAGAAATAACGCCTTGGGCTTTTTTCTTCCTGCTCCTTCAGATGTGGGAAGAAGATGTTAGAGGGCTTCCCCTTTTGTTCTTCTCTGCTTGTTCTTTTAATCTTACCAGTTGGGTGCTAGTTGGAAAATCTGAGCCCTGGCGATCAATTCTTGCCTTCTCTGATTTTTGCCGGCGGACTGCTAGGAGAAAACTGGAGTGGATGATTCCTCAGTTAGCAGGGGGTGAATCTCTTACACACAGGGCTTCTGCCAAGCCTGAATTAGAGCTTTCAACCATACAGGCTATTGATGCAACCAGCCTCCAATGAGAATTGGCTGGGCAGCCCCATTGGCATTGCGGATAGAGACAGGTGCCTCGGCATGTGATTGGGACCGCAACACTTTAGCCTCAGATTTCAGTCTGTGCTTTCGTGTGATATAACCCTGCTAAATTCTCCGCCTCCTCAAGGGACCCCCTAGCAAAATCAGAAGTCAGAAATCCATATTTCTAATGGAAAAAATGAAAAAAATTGAGTATCATAAACAGCCAATTTTCCCTTTCCAGTCACCTTTCATTTTCCATCCCAAGCAGACCTTCAAGCTGTGCTCCCTTCACTTCCAGTTTCCTATAAAACGCAGACAATTTCCACTGGGAACTTCCCATGTGTGGTTTCCTGCCCACCGGGTTGCTTTGGCGAAGTCTGAGGTCAGTGGGCTCGTGCCCCCTGGCCCCGCCCCAACTCCGCCCCCTCCCTGCCCCTATTGGACACCTCCCCAAATCCCCGCCCCAGCCCCACCTCTTCCCCAAGCGCACTGTGTTCCTCCTCCTCCCCCCTCCCTCCTAGGCTTGCCAGCTCCTCTGCTTACCTCCCAGCGCTTCCCGCGTTGCTGCCGCAAAACAGCCGGAGGGAGGGGAAGGAGCGGGAACGTGGCACGCTCAGGGGAGGAGGTGGGAAGAGGCAGGGCCAGGGCAGGGATTGGGGGAAGGAGTCGGAATAGGGGCAGGGAGGGGGTGGAGTTGGGGCAGGGACTTTGGGGAAGGGGTTGGAATGGGGGTGGGGCAGGGGGGGAGTTGGAGTGGGGCCGGGGGCAGAGGGGGGTCGAGCACCCACCGGCGGGAGCAGAAGTCGAAGCCTATGCCATCAGCCACGCTCCGCCGGGACAGGCAGGTTACAGACTCTGCCGATTCGACTAGTACGTTGTCTTGTGTTTCACAGGGTCTGTCTTCACTGCTCTTACCCAGCTGTTGTCCTTACTTTGACCCCCTGTCCATACACAAAATCCTCTCTCCTGATCGATGTAGGTGTTTTAAACCCAGGCGGGCTTGCTGGCCTGGCTGCTAGGGGGGTTAAAGCCCTGTTGCAGCTTTCATTCAGGCTGCTAACCTGCCCACTTTGCAGTGAGGACGCAGGTTAACCCGCTGCAGTGCTGATAGTCCTCCAGTGCCTTTCCACAATGCCCCCGTGGGCCCAGAAGGTCAAAAATTCTCCCACAATGCTCTGGGGGGAAAAAAATCATAGAGCAGCTCAGCTTGCTGCAGCACAAAGCACCATGGAATATGTCTCCAGAAGTCCTAACAACACTTGTGGGGGGAGGGCAGCACCCATCAGGACACAGTAACTTAAGTCAGGCTTTGCATTGTGGTGGCTAACACGGAGGCTAGGCTAACCCAAGTACTCAGACCTGGGGGCTAACCCTGCTGTAAAGACGCACCCCTTGACCAACGCGTTCCAGCATGTCACGACACCTGGAGCTACGGGCAAAGGTAGGAGCCAGGCCTGCAAAGCCTCACTCGTGGGAGTCGTCTCATTGCACACAGTGAGACCACGGGTCTGTCCAAAGCTCTGTTAAATCTTTCCAGCAACCTTCAACAGATCAGGCCCTCGGAGTGGGTGCTACTCCCTGGAATCAGGGCTTTCAGAAGCTGGCTCCAGACCGTAATCTCGCTCTCGAAGGAGATAAAATCATCTACAGCCCATTGTCACACACGTGTTTTTTAAAAATGCTTTCTTAAAAAATCAACTCAGGAAATTCCTAGCCTGCTGTTTAGTCACAAGACCCTCACAGCATCCCTGTGAGACTGGGAATGACATGTATTCATCCCCTGGAGTGTAGCCTACGTTATAAAGATTTCCTCTGTTGGTTACATCCCTGGGGTAGCCCAGTGAAGCACTTTTATTGCTGAACCGAGTTGTTTTAAGACTGGCTCAGAGAAAGGGGCAGTGAAAGACCCAGGGAGCACAATCTAGTCAGCTAATATAGCTTATAAATAGGGCCCTACCACATTCACAGCTGTCAAAAACGCATTACGGACTGTGAAATCTGGTCTTTTGTGTACTTTTGCCTATATTATAAAAGTTCCCTAGACTATAGGGGAAAAGTATACAGAAGTACACTGCTTTTCCCAAACTGGGGGCCCCAACCCAAAAGGGGGTCGCAAGGCTATTGTAGGGGGGGTCACAGTGTTGTCACCCCTACTGCTGCGCTCCGGCTGTCAGCAGTGCTGCTTTCAGAGCTGAGCGCACGGCCAGCAGCCGCTGCTCTCCGGCCGCCCGCTACAATAACCTTGCAACCCCCTTTAGGTCAGGACCCCCAGTTTGAGAAACGCTAAATCTTAAGGGCTGTGCATGTTTATATTTTGCTGTTTTTAAATACATATTCGTGTGTGTTACAACACCGTGAAATTTAAGATTTAAATAGCTGAAACTGCGACATTCAAGATTTTTTACAATGCTCTGATTGTGAAATTTATGAAAATGGACAGTGAATTTGGCAGGGTCCTAACTATTGGGCTCGAAGCAGCATTTACGGACAGTGTTATGCAGGAGATCGGACTACACCGTCACACTGTTCTGACCTAAAAAGCTACAAAAGGGGCACTGTCCATTTAAAAATTAGGCCTTTTTTTTTAAACGTCTTCCAATGGATTGTGGCCACAACAAATTGCCAAGGAAAATCCCGACAGCGTTCTGCAGGTATAAGATTGCACGATGCAGATACCCCTTGAGAATGGGGCTGCCACGTCTCGTCCATTTCCCCATTAGGGCTCACCTGGGATGCAGCATGTGAGTTGCAATGGACGCTGGAGGATACATTCGCTGGGCTTCTAAAACTGCCTCCCGTGGCTTTATCAGCCCCTCCTCCCGCAAAAGCCCCAAGCCTTCAAAGAAAGATGGCGTCAGACCCAAAATATCACAAAATCCGTTTTAAAAAATCATGAGATTTAATAAAATAAAATAAATTAACATGGAGTGATTTGCGTCGTAGCCAATAGGGTTTGAGTTTCCTTGATTTTTCTCCCCAGTCATTGGGCTAGACACAGATTTTCTTTTTATATATAAAAGCAGAGCTGCGGCTTTAAGAGACAGCCCACAGATCACAAGAGTTGGTCACACCGGAACCGTTCGTCTCATTTTAATTCCACAAAAAGGGAGATTTCTAGGGCTTCTTTTACACTCCCTTGGTTCAGGGCCCAATGTGAGAGTTTAAAATTCATCCAACTCTCCCTTCCTGTTGCCTGCCAAGATTTCAGCCTCCTCCTCCCCCTGCCCCTAGCGAGAGATGTCTGTGTTTGCATTTTACGTGCCAGCCACTTGCTCTGCCAGCTCCGGTCCCGGGGGGGTGGGGGACATGCTCTGCGGTACCAGAAGTGCCTTCGTGCTGCCCGTCCTCTCCGAGCGGTTAGTGAATCCCACGCCAGGCTGGCTTCTCCGCTGCTGCCTAAGTGTGAGCCTATGGCATTGGCATTACTGCCCTCCTGCACATTGATGGGGTTTCACACCCAGTCAGTGAAAAGCCAGCTGAATGCATGTCCAAAGGAGCCAGCCTGGACCCTACCGTGCAGTGACGGGGCTCCTCAGAGTCTGTTCCCCCTGTGAGCCATCCCTGCCCCTATCACGCAGTGACATGAGAGGGTTCCCCTGCCGTCTGCGCTCCCGTGTGCCTGGTATGTGATTGGGGCCGGTTCGCCCCTGCCCCGTGGCCAGTGTGTGTTTGGGGCCGGCTCTCCCCTTCCCCGTGGCCAGTGTGTGTTTGGGGCCGGCTCTCCCCTTCCCCGTGGCCACTGCGTGTTTGGGGCCGGCTCTCCCCTTCCCCGTGGCCAGTGTGTTTTGGGGGGCATTTCCCTCTTTCCCCATGGCCAGTGC